AGAGAGAGAGAGAGAGAGAGAGAGAGAGAGAGAGAGAGAGAGAGAGAGAAGCGTGTGTGCGCTTGTGTGTTCGGGTCCTCAGGGACGACTCAGCCCAACCAGCCAGTTAGAGAGCAGCTGTCAGCCTCACTAGGTCCCTTAAGGGGCTCTGGGATAAACAGGCCATAGCCTGGGGGCTGTTAACTTTCCACAGCCCCAGACACCTTGGGTTAGCTCCTAAGGGGGCTACAGGCATAGGGCTGGCTTCTGGCCTACTCCCCTTTGGTCTTGCTTAGGGACACAGGCCTGACCCGACCCAACCCTGTGGCTGGCTCAGGCAGAGCAGCCACTGCGGCAAGGGGCTTCAGGAGGGAAGGAAGTCAGCTCTTAGCTGTCACAGGAAGTGGGGAGCTAGGGCCTGGGGATTGTCTAGGGGCAGGCTGGGCTTTGTTAGGGCCCAGGGAGGGTCAAAAGGACAAGCACTGTGGGAGACTCACCTTGCAGTTAGGGCTGGACTTCTTGAAGACCCTAACAAAACAGAAAGGGAAACCCCACTGCCTCCCTCAGACTCAGCAGGGACCCCCACGCCAGGACCTTATCCCTCCCCCATCTGAGAAGCAGAGTTCACCCAGGGTTCCTGCCTAGAGGGTTTGCGGTTTTGCCCAGCTCTACCCACTCCCACTTCTTCCCAGACGGTCCTTAGTATTTCCAAAATGGTAGTCAGGGCAAATGCTCCTCTCTTGTCCTTGGTCCACCCTCCCTAGTCCACCTCTCTCCACAGTAATGGCCGCTGGTTGCCCCAGGAACCACTCCGTCTCTTCCCAGAGGACCTCCCCCAGAGGGGATCTGAATAGGCAGGTTGCAGCAGTGTCTGGGTAAGACCTAACCATCTTTCCATCTGCTCTGCAGCTCCAACAACAGCTGGAGTACATAGAAGAGCAATGGCTGGCCCTGGCCTTTGCCCCTAAAATGGTTTCTACCATAGGCACTACCCAAGTTCGACCCTATTCCATTAGCCTCCAACTGTCCCCATCTGTGACCTCAGCAGCTTAAAAGCCTATTCATCTTTCAAGGCCCAGCCTTTAGAAAGCAGACCCAGCCCAGACCCTGTTCACTCCTTGTTTGGGGTTTTTGTCACACCCTGTTTATGGTTTATTTGTGGTGTGATAGCATGCGAGGGCAGTCAGCTGTGTATCATCCGTCTCTCTACTTAGACTGGTCGCCTCGGAGGCCTTATTCATTTAGGCACCCCCAGCACAGTGCCAGCTGTGTGATGAAGACGATGGTGCCAGCTAATATTATTGGGTGAATACTCTGTGCCCAGCACTGTTCCAAGTGTTTCAAGTGTGTTATTTCATTTAATACTCTAACAACTCAATGATACAGGCCCTAATGTCCCTATTTTTACAGGTGAGGAAACTGAGGCACAGAGAGGTCAAGTATTTTGTCCAAGGTCACAGAGAGTGTAAATGGTGGAACTCACATATAAACAAGGGCAGTCTGGGTCTGAGTCCATGCTCTTAATCACTAAACTGTTACACTTTTGGTCTCTGTAGTTGGCATCAATTGTTTGTTGAATTGAAGGAGATTCATTTTCCAGTTGCTGAAACAATCTAAGCCTGGACTCCACCTGTTGCTGGGAGGGTAGGGAACTATCTGAGGACCCCAGTGCTCTGGCTGATTGTGGGCCTGTTCTTTGAAGTGCCAATCCACTGTGTCTCAGCAGTGATCCCTGGAAAGGATCCCCAGATAGTAGAAACTGATATCCTGCCAACTAACTGGCCTATGCCTTCTCCAGCTCCACCACCCCAACTTCTGCTACAACTTCACTTGTCCTTTCTTCCCAGAAGGCCAAGTTGTCCAAAGGTCAGAAGGCAAAGGGTACAGAGGGCCCCAGGTATCCCCAACCAATAAAGGAGAGCAAACATTGATATAGTGGCAGCTAGAATAAACACCCTACCTTCAGTCCCAACTTGGGGGCTGATTGCTATGGCATCATCCAGGCTCTCCCTCCCCTTTGCTTCTGGTTTTCTCTTTGTCCCAGTGTTTCCTCCCATTAGGAGCCCTGGCAGAGTGCTGTGACAGCCACAATCAGTTGGCCAACTGGAGTGTGGCTCTGGGGCAATTGCCCTGGAGCAGCTGCAGGGCACCTGCCCTTTGGATCCTAACCCAGCCACCTCCTGCCAGGCTAGGGAGGAGCAGTGTACATATACTGAGAGTGGCCAAGGAGGCAGACTGTGGGGATGACCAGGGAGGTGCCCAGTGAGAGGGATCAGTTGAAGCAGATGCCCCTTCACACTTTCTGCTATTCTCTCCACTTCCTGTGGCCTAGAATTTGATGGGGGTGAGGGGAATTGTGCCAAGTCAGCAGTCCCCCTTTGGTCCATCTGTCCCCCTCCCTGAACCACATAACGGAAATCAGGGGCCTCCCTCAAGTCAGTGACTTCCCCTTTTTCTGGGGTGTTTAACCCCTAATCCAGGACACCAATCCTCCCTCAGATCATCTCTGATACTTGTCTACTTGATGCTTAGAAACCTGGGTTCTCATACTCTATGAATGAGAAGTAGTGGAGTTGTTGTGATGTTTTGCAGAACAAGTGACAGCTCAGGACCAGGCTCCCATTCCTGATCCCCTCTGGATTGAGGCATAAAGCCCCAGCCTTTTCCTCTTTTGCTCCTGTTCCCTTGGGACTTAGGCATTCACCCCCCTGCCCCCTTGGGGGTGTTGAGTCACAACAGGAAGTGGATTTTGCTAGAGACCAAAAAAAGAGAACTCGGGGTGTCAGTGGAAGGAAGGAGCCTCGATTGCACAGAAAACATCCGGGGAGTGGATGCGGGCCCAGGGCAGATACTGCTTCCCCCCACCCGGGGGAGAGGGATAAGGTCCAATTTTGTGGAGGGTCGTCACCCACTCTGCTGCCCGAAGATGAAGCTGTTGCTCCTAGTAACCCAAGGGAAGGCAGAAGTTTGATAGAGGAGCCACCCGGCCCTCGGGACAGGTGTGGGTAGCCCAGCTGCCTGTAGGGTATTGGACAAGAAGCTTTCCATTGGCTCAGCACGAGTCTAGAGGGGATCCCACTCCTGGCGTCCAGCCTCCCATACATGACCCCTTGGGGCCAGCCACCTGCTCCTCCTTCCTGTGTCCCTACATCGCAGCCTGCACGGGAGAACCCAGTAGTCCAGCCCCCAGATCCCTGCGAGAACCCCGACGTCGGCTTTCTGATCCCCTTCAGGCCTTGCTTTCTGCAGGGGCCCGGGCAATGCGTCCCCCCCATTATTCTCGAGGACCTATTCATGCGGCCCCGGATGGCTGCCCCCTAGGGACCCAGGCGTCCGGCCCCGGATTCTCTCTCTCCCTTGTCCCTGTCTGGGGACCATCCCAGCATCCTCCCCGAGCCGCCGCCCATGCCCCGCTGCGTGGCCCCACCTCCCTTACCTGGTCCCGGGTTTCTCCCCCATGGTGCGCGCGCCCGCCGCCCGCCGCCCGCTCGGCTCGCGGCTCGCTTGCAGCCTTCTCGCTCGCTGCCAGATCTCTGCTCCTCCCCGCGCCACTGCGCACGCGCACCCTCCGCTCTTTCTCCTCTTCCCCCTCCGCTCCGGGCCCCCTCCTCGGTCCTGGGGAACCGCGGCCAGATGCGTCAGCCGGCTAGCGCGCGCCGCAGCGCTGCCGCCTTCTCCTAGCAGACACGCGCGGTGGCTGGCTCCGCCCCTACCCTCCGCGCTCCGCCCCTCCCGGGCAGCCCTCCCCTGCGCGTCGTCCCTGCTCCTGCTCTTCCCGCCCATCTCTCCGCCCCTCCACGACCCCTTACAGGCTGATTGGGCCCCCTTAAACGAAGGCGCCCGCCTTCCAGGAGATGAAAGCCCTCCCCGCGGCCAGAACCCTGCAGGGGTCCCCTCCCCTTTGTTTGCCTTCTTGGTGGTTGTGTAGGCACTGGGGCGGTGGAGAGGGGTGGGATGAGCTCAGACACAGTCTGGGGAAGCAGGGTGAGGGGATGCACACGTGGGTGAGCGGTTCCAGTTGCATGATGTTTGCTTCAGCGCGCGCTGCTCACCCGCTCGCCTCAGAGCATGCAGCCCTCTTGGCCCGCCCTCCCGCCTCTTTACTGTGGAGTCTCGGCTCCCCCTGGTGTCTGCCTTTGATCGCCGCACGGTTCCCTTTTCTAATTTCTCTGACTATCCATCTCCTTTGCCCACCCATCCCCGCTAACATCCACCCACTCGCCCACCCATCCATCCATCCATCTGTCCATCCATCCATGCATGCCTATTTTGTGCTAGTCACTATGCCAAGCAGTGGGACACACATGAATTACCATGGCCCCTGCTTTCCTAGTATAGTCGAAGAGACTCATAAACAGGTATTATGATCCCAGGAATGCTATAATAGAGGTATGACTCAGAAGACAAAGCCATTAACAGCGCTTGGAGAGGGTGGCGGTGGAGGGAGTGCAGGCTGTCCAGAGAAGGGAACATTTGAGGACACTCTTTATGAAGGATAGACAGGAGTCGAGAAAGGGCATTCCAAAGAGAGAGAAAGGCAAGGCACAGCTTGTTCTGAAGTGTTGGTGGGGTTAGACGGCAGGAGAGATAAGACTGGAACAGGTTGTGGAGGATTTTGTAGAGCTGGTGAAGGAATGAGAACGAGGAGGGCCCTGCAGAAGGACACGTGGAACCAGTCATGGTTTTTTAAGCAGAGGGGTGGCATGATGAGATTGCTCTTTTTGGAAGATAATTCTGAGCAATGTGGAGGGTGGAGGGAGTGGGGCAAGACTGCTGTTAACTAGCCAAGGGAAAATGATGAATGCTAGAGTGGAAGGGATAGGAGGGATCAGACTGAGGACTCATTTCTGGGGTAAAATTAGCTGGACTTGGGGGAGTCTAGTCAATGGATGACTGATATTATTGGACTCATGAAGCTAAGGTATTTCCCCTTTGTCCATCTCTATTCCCATGCTCTCCCTATCTTCCCCAAATGGAATAACTTCACACCTCTCCCTCCACTTTTCTATGCAACAAAAAAACAGTGTACTCAAGTTGTTCCTAAGATCATCTTTAGGTTCAAACACAGGACTTGCTCGTCAACTGCCACCACCCCACCCCTGAGTTCTATCACCACCTTCTAAGCTTACTCTTCAGTTTTTTTCAAGCTTTAGATCATGCATTTCTTTTAGACTCATGAATCACTTTTATCCAAATTTGAACTTGGTCAAAGGGTCATGACAAGAAGGTAATGAGATCTGTATCTAAAGTCTGATGAGACTGAAAGGTAGTGGTCTGCATGACATGAAATCTACTGTATTAAAAGATACTAACAAAACAGCCGGGCACGGTGGCTCACGCCTGTAATCCTAGCACTCTGGGAGGCCGAGGCGGGCGGATCGTTTGAGCTCAGGGGTTTGAGATCAGCCTGAGCAAGAGCGAGACCCTGTCTCTACTAAAAATAGAAAGAAATTAGCTGGACAACTAAAAATATATAGAAAAAAATTAGCCGGGCATGGTGGCGCATGCCTGTAGTCCCAGCCACCCGGGAGGCTGAGGCTGAGGCATCGCTTGAGCCCAGGAGTTTGAGGTTGCTGTGAGCTAGGCTGATGCCACGGCACTCTACCCGGGCAGCAGAGTGAGACTCTGTCTCAAAAAAAAAAAAAAAAAAAAAAAAAAGGAAAAAATGTGAAATAGGCATTCTCTTTCATCCAGCATACATTAGTTTATGTATTCAATAAATATTTATTGGGCACCTTTTATGTGCCAGGCATTGTTCTAGGTGATGGGAATAAAATAGTGAAGGAGAAGAGTTCTCTCATGGAGTTTGTGTTTTAGACAGAAGAGATAATCAATAAATACAAATGTAAATAAATTTCTGATAATAATGTGAGTTATAAAAAATAATCAGGGTAATGTGATAGAGGCTGATGGAGCTTGGAGTTGGGGCTACTTCAAAAGCAGCCCTCTCTATGGATGGCAAAATGGTGTTGGTTACATAGAATCAAAGGACAATTTCTCTAGCAGACTCAGCAGCATGTACAAAGGTCCTGAAGTGGAAATGGGTGTTGCTGGAGGATAGAAAGGAGGCTAGTTTGGCTCAAGAATAGGGAGAGAGAGGGAAAGTGGTACTCACAGCATGTGCTGAGGTCAAGGAGATGGGTATGGGTCAAATTGTGTGGATTCTAGTAGGCCTAAGTGAAGACATAGGATTTCATTCTCATCACATTTGGGGGCCACAGAAGGGTTTTAAGCAGGGAGTGACAAGAACTGGTTTACATTTGAAAATATCACTCTGGTTGCTTCTCTGGTTGTGGAGAAGGAACGACAGGGGGCCAAGAGGGAAGCAAAAGCAATGAAGAAGCCTTTGTAAAAGGCTATTGTAAGAGACCAGGTGAGAGAATGGTGATTTGGACCAGAGTGGCACTGGAGACAGAGAAAAATTAATCCTATTGGGTTAATGTATTTTGGAGGCAGAATGCCAGGACTTGAAAGATTACATACAGCAATAAGAGGAAAAAAGATGACTCTTGGATTTGAATCCAATAATCACACAAAGACAGAGGTATTAGGGTGTTCACCACAGTGTATTAGTGAAAAACTAGGGCAGCCGTTAAGTATTCAGCAACAGAATTGTTGAACCACGGTGCGCCCATTTCATTGTACCATCGGGGTATCTTCTGGAGCTGCCATGAGGATTAAAAAAAAGTAGTGTAAATAACCCCACAATATATACTGAATGAAAAAAAGCCAAGTGAGGCCCCTACTTTTGTAAAACAAACAAGCACTGTATGTGCTTGTGAGTAGACTAATATTAGGAAAGTACACACGTTACTGGGGGCGGCGGTGGGGAGAAGAAGCAGATTTCTGTTTTTAGTTTATGACCTTCCGTATTGTTTCAATTTGTTTTTGAAAGGCGCGTATATTGTGTAATTTTTGAAGTTGCAGTTCCCTCGTGGATATTACTGATTCCTAGACAGACGGTGTCCACAGACTCCGTTTGCTCAAGTGAAAATCTTTCGGACTCTGGCGCCTTTTGTCCGGACCACGTGTACCTCTAACACCACGGAACCGCCTCCGACCCGCCCTCAGCCCGTCCCACCCGCCAGCCCTCAACCCTCCAGGAACTGTTGCCTGCCGCCTTGGCGCCCGAGCGCCTCTACCCAGCGCATGCTCCTTCCCGGCCTGAGCCCGAGAGTCCAACCTCCTTTCCCCCAGTGCGCAGGACCACAGCCCCCTCCTCAGACCCCCTCCCCACCAAGCGTCCGTCGCGGTGTGTTTGCGTCATCGCGCCACGCCACCACTAGAGCCCGGGGGAAGATGGCGGCAGCCGTTCTTAGTGGGCCCTCTACGGGCTCCGCGGCTGGGGTTCCCGGCGGGACCGGGGGTCTCTCGGCAGTGAACTCGGGCCCGCGTCTCCGCCTGCTGCTGCTGGAGAGTGTTTCCGGGTTGTTACAGCCACGAGCGGGGCCCGCCGTTGCTCCCGTGCATCCCCCGGTCCGCTCGGCCCCGCATTTGCCCGGGCTCATGTGCCTGTTGCGGCTGCATGGGACGGTGGGCGGGGCCCAGGTAAGTCCGTGGCCCCCGTGCCGGCGGCCCTGTGGGAAGGTTGGTCTCGCACCTGTGCGCCGGGGTTATGGTGCATTGCAGCTGCAGTATGGAGGTTGAGGGGAGAAGAACTGAGGGCAAAAAGGGGATCCAGGTATCAGTCCAGACGAGATTCGCATATTTTTCCTCTAAACGCTCTGAGTTTCTCTGGGGGGAAAAATGGGCCTTATTTGTCTGCTGCTAGGCACAAAGGAATGGATTAGATTCCAGGCCCGGTCATTCACTAGCGTATGACCTAAAGCCTCTTTTTCGTCTGGAGATACCTGTTTTGGGGATTGTTTTGACTGAGTTAATGGGCCTATTCAACAATAGAAATTTACCGAGCTCTTACTCTAGGCCAGATACTCTTCTGTGCGTTCCAACTATAGACGTGATGGCGATGAACATGATGAGAATCGAATAGCAGAGGGCCTCCCTAACCTAATCCGGAGAATTGCAGTAATTTTCCAAAGGAACTGGGGTTTAAACTGAGACCCTAAGGATGAATAGGGATTGGGTAGGGAAAAAAGTGGGAGAGGCGTTTCAGTCAAAGGAAGACTCATATGGGAAGGCCCTATGGTAGAAGGGAACTGAGAAAAAGAGGTTTGTTTCTGGGGCTCAGACGTGGAGGGGAAGGGAGTGGGTAGAATCGAGGCTCGTGAGGTGAGTAGGCAGTGGTCAGATCATGCAGAGCTTTGTGGGTTGCGTTAGAAGAAGCTTTGGATTATTGTAAGAGCAGAATCTAACATCCATTTAGTTCTGCAAGCTAGAAACCTAATTGTCATCCTGAATATTCCCACACACCTCCATAAACAATCTATTAAGTTCTTTTGATTTTATCCTGAGAAGCTTTCAGATCTGTTTTCTCCTTTCCATCTCTTTCCCATTGCCTCCATCCTAACTTGAACCCCATCATCTTGCCCAGGTGAGAGCATTGATCCTAAGAACACATGTCTAGTCCATGGTAATTGCTCCTTTAATTATCTCCTTCCCTCTCCCTCCTAGTAACCCTCAAATTCTACCTATCTTTCAAGACTCATGTACATGAAGTTTTCCTTTTCCACCCCTTCATTCATGAGACCTTTCCAGCTTTGTGCTTCCTTCCAGGAAGAGGGTTGGCACAACCTACCAGGTGGTTCAATAATCTTGGCCCCAGATTTATCAGTTTGTTAGTATTTAACATCACTCCTCATTTGTTAGTCTTCCTCCTAGTTGAGGGTAACAAAACTATGTCTCTGGTATCTCAGTCCAGTTTCAGAGGCAGGAGCTGATTATGTATTTTCTCTCTAAATCCCCTTCTAATTCATGTGGTTCTCTTTCCTCAGTTATGTTAAGGTGGTGGTATTTTCTGTTTTCCCTATCTCAAAACAGATGCAGAAATGTCTTTCATAAGTATTTGTAAAATATTATCTGTCCTTCCTATAAACGTGTTGATTAATCATCTCTTTCAGGACTTTTCCCTTCGTGCCACTGACACGAACTTATTTCTTGCTTATTTTCCCTGAATGTCTAAAGTCTAGTAGAATTGTGAGTAAAGAAGCTAAGAGTGATGTGACACTTACACAAGTAGAGTCATGTGCCACATAACAATGTTTCAGTCAGTGCTGAACAACATGTACAACAGTGGTCCCATAAGATTATAATGGAGCTGAAAAATTCCTATTGCCTAATGACGTAACTATAGTGATGTTGTAGTGCAATACATCACTCACATATTTGTGATGATGCTCTTGCAAACAAACCTATTGCACTACCAGTTATATAAAAGTATAGCATGTACAATTATGTATAGTACATAATACTTGATAATAACTATGTTACTGGTTTATGTACATTTGGTACTTGTTATTTTAGTATGTATTCCTACTTAGAAAGAAAAAAAGTTAACCGTAAAACAGCCTCAGGGCCAGGTGCAGTGGCTCACACCTGTAATCCTAGCACTTTGGGAGGCCAAGGTTGGGGGGGGGGGTCACTTGAGGCCAGGAGTTTGATGCGAGTCTGAGCAACATAGTGAGACCCTGTCTCTACAAAAAATAGAAAAATTAGCTGGGCATGGTGACATGTGCCTATAGTCCCATTTACTTGGGAGGATGAGGCAGGAGGATTGCTCGAGCTGAGGTGTTTGAGGTTGCAGTGAGCTACGATGATGCCACTGCACTCTAGCTCAGGTGACAGAGCGAGATCCTATCTCAAAAAAAAAACAAACAAAAAAAAACCCAGAAAAACAAACCAGTCTCAGGCAGGTCCTTCAGGAGGTATTCCAGAAGAAGGCATTGTTATCATAGGAGTTGGCAGCTCCATGAGTGTTAGTACCCTGAAGACCTTCCAGTGGGACAAGACATGGAGGTGGAAGACAGTGATATTGTTGATCCTGACTCTGTGTAGGCCTACGCTATTGTGTGTGTTTTTATCTTAGGTTTTCTTTTCTTTATTTTTTTTTTTTCCATTTTTTTAAGTTCGCTTGAAAATGTGTCTTAGTTTTAAACAGTTCAAAAAAATTAAAAGCAGGAAAAAGACCTTATAGAATAAGGATATAAAGAAAAAATATTTTTGTACAACTGTACAATGTGTAAAAGTTTTACTACAACAGAGTTATTACAAGAGAGAGTCAAAAAGTTAAAAAAATATTCAAAGTTTATAAAGTAAAAACGTTACAGAAATCTAAGGTTAATTTATTATTGAAGAAAGAATTTTTTTTATAAATTGTAGCGCATCCTAAGTACACAGTGTTTATAAAGTCTACAGTAGCATATAGCAGTGTCCTAGGCCTTCACATTCACTCACCACTCACTCACTGACTCAACTAGAGCAACCTCCAGTCCTGCAAGCTCCATTCATGGTAAGTACCCTATACAGATACACCATTTTTAAATCTTGTATGCCACATTTTTTTTTTTTTTAATTTCAGCATATTATGGGGGTATGCCACATTTTTACTGAACCTTTTCTATGTTTGGATAGGTTTAGATACATAAATACTTACCATTGTGTTATAATCGACTATAATATTCAGTATAGTATCATTCTGTCCAGGTTTGTAGCCTAGGAGCAATAGGCCATACCATATAGCCTAGGTGTGTAGTTGGCTGTATTGTCTAGGTTTGTGTAAGTGCACTCTGTGATGTTTACACAATAATGGAATCACCTAACAATGCCTTTCTCAGAATGTGTCTCTGTTGTAGGGTGAGTGACTGTACATTGTTTCAACAGTTCTCCTCCACTCTTCATTATCAGCTTTCCCCTCTCTATTGGATCATTTTCATCAGCATATATTTCAAAGCTGCTAAAAAAAATCACCTTCCTTTAAATGCATATTTATTTTATTCTGTTTTTTTCTGGTCCATTTAGGAGTAAGTTGCAGACATTATGTCCTTTTACCTTGACATACTTTAGTGTGTATTTCCTTAAAAAACAAAGATGTTCTCCTACATAACCACATTCCATCATCAAAATCAGAAAATTAACATTGATTTGTTTTAAGTTTTGTCAGTTTTCCTAAAAGCATCCTTTATAGCAAAAGAAAAAAAAGTTTCTAGTCCAGGGTTCAGTGCAGAATCACACATTGCGTTTAGTTGTCATATCTCTTTAGTCTTATTAAATCTGAAATAGTTCTTCAGTGTTTATCTTACGCTCTTGACATTTTTAAAGAGTACAGTGTAGTTATTTTGTAGGATGCCCCTCTGGTTTGTCTGCTCTTTCCTCATGATTAGATCAGGTTGTGTGTTCTCAGCAGGAATACTGGAGAAAAGATGTATCATTCTTGGTGCATCATATCAGGAACACATATACTACATTAAGATGGAATCTGTCAGGTTTCTTAACTGTCCTAAAGGTATGATTATTCCATTTGTAGTTAACAAGTGTCTTGTAGGGAGGTGATATGAATGTCTGCTGTCTTATCAACCTTTCATTCACTTGTTTTAGAATTATTACTATGATGGTTGTTCCATTGAACTCACTCCATTTAGGCTTTTAGCCTAAACACTTTGTTAAAACAACCCTTTGCTGGGTGATATGGTAACTCTTGAAGGTCATTGTTGAAGTTCAAAGGTCAAATTTGGGTCCTCATATTACTTGACCATTTGATGCAGTTGATTATTCCTTCTTGAACAACTGTCTTCACTTGGCTTCTGGGATATCTCTCCTCTCTTGATTCTCCTGTTATCACACTGGTCACTCCTTTCCAGTCTTTTCCAGGAAAGACTGGTTCTTCCTGCCCTCTCTGACTGTGAAAGGTTTGAGTGCCCAAGAACCCAGTTCTTGCACTGCTTCTCTTCTCTGTTTACAATCATTCTCTTGGGGAACTGATAGGGTCTCATGGCCAGCAACTGCCAAATTCACATCTTTAACTAGGATTTTGTTTGTTTGTTTTGAGACAGAGTTTCTCTCTGTTGCCCAGGTTAGAGTGCTGTGGTGTCAGCCTAGCTCACAGCAACCTCAGACTCCTGGGCTCAGGGGATCCTCCTGCTTCAGCCTCCCAACTATATGGGACTACAGGTGCACACCACCATTCATGGCTATTTTTTTTCTATTTTTAGTAGAGATGAGGTCTCGCTCTTGCTCAGGCTGGTTTCATTTTTTTTTTTTTTTTTGAGACAGAGTCTCACTCTGTTGCCCGGGCTAGAGTGAGTGCCGTGGCGTCAGCCTAGCTCACAGCAACCTCAAACTCCTGGGCTCAAGCGATCCTCCTGCCTCAGCCTCCCGAGTAGCTGGGACTACAGGCATGCGCCACCATGCCCGGCTAATTTTTTCTATATATTTTTAGTTGTCCGATTAATTTCTTTCTATTTTTAGTAGAGATGGGGTCTCGCTCTTGCTCAGGCTGGTTTCGAACTCCTGAGCTCAAACAATCCGTCCGCCTCGGCCTCCCAGAGAGCTAGGGTTACAGGCGTGAGCCACCACGCCCGGCCATTTAACCAGGATTTCTCTTCTTAATGTCAGACTTGTCTATCCAAAGCCTATCTGGCATCTCCATTTTGATGTTAGTTAAATAGACATCACAGATTTAACATCTGCAGCTGAGCTCCTGATTCTCACTCCCAAAACCTGCTCCCCCCTGCATTATTCCCCTTCTTAGTAAATGGCAACTTCCTCTTTCTAGTTCTCAGCAAAAAACCCTGGAGTTGCTTTTGACTCTTCTCTTTGTCTTCCACCCATATCCAGTTTGATATCAAAACCTGTTGGCTCTACCTTCAGAATATGTCTAGATTCTGACTGCTTTGTATCCCTATTATTACTGCATTCTTCCAGCTGCGTCATCTCCTGCCTGGATCATTACAGTAGCCTCCTACCTCATCTGTCTGCTTCTGCCTTCCCAACAAGGCAGCTCAAGTGTTGTTGATTTAAAAAAACAAACAATAAGTCATTCCTTTGCTCAATTCCTCTCTCCCCCCCATGGCTTTTACCTAAGTCAGAGTACAAGTCGGAAGTTGCCCATCTGGCCCCACTGCCTGGACCATCATCCTTGATTACTCCCCTCCACCTGCTCACTCTTCTCCAGCAACAGTTTGTCTTCTTGCTGTTTCCAGATATGTCAGGTGTGCTCTTGCTCACAACCTTTGCTCCTTTTTTCACTCTGCTTGGAACATTCTTTTTTTGGTTATCAATATGCCTTTATTTAAAAAAAAGAGACATAATTAACATACCATGCAGTTCAGTTGTTTAAAGTGTATAATTCAGTGGTTTTTAGTATATTTGCAGAGTTGTGCAGCCGTCGCTGTGGTCGGTTTTAGGACATTTTCATCACTCTATAGAGGAACCCTGTACCCATTAGTAGTCATTCCTGTTGTCCACCAGCCCCTCCCTGGTTGCCTGTGACCCTTGGCAAACGCCGATCTTTTTTTTTTCCTCTATAAATTTGCTGTTCTGGCCATTTCATGTAAATGAATCTTAGATATGTTGCCTTTTGGATCTGATTTCTTTCGCTTAGCATTCAGTTTTCAGGGTTTGTCCGTGTATCAGCTTCATTCCTTTTTATGGCCTTTTATTCCATTGTTTGGATATGTATTAGTTCCCCCTTAATTGCAGCTTAATTTTCCATGGTTTTAGTTATGTAACTGTGGTCAACGGTGGTCCAAAAATATTAAATGGAAAATTCCAGAAATAATTCATAAGTTTAATTAAATTGATGAATTAAATTCATAAGTTTTAAGTTGCACTCCATTCTGAGTAGCGTGATGAAATCTTGAGCCTTTCTGCTTTGTCCCACCTGGGACGTGAATCATCTCTTTGTCCAGCATATCCACGATGTATATGCTCCCTCTCTGTAAGTCATTTAGTAGCCATCCTGGTTATCAGATCAGCTGTCTTGGTATCGCAGTGCTAGTGTTCAAGTCACGCTTATTTTACATCATACTGGTCCCAAAGCGTAAGAGCAGCAATGCTGTCATATTGTTATAATTGTTCTATTTTATTATTAGTTATTGTTCATCTTTTAGTGTGCCTAATTTATAAATTAAACTTTATCATAGGTAGTATGCATAGGAAAAAACAGTATATATAGAGTTCGGTGCTATCCATGTTTCAGGCATCTACTGGGGGGCCTTGGAATGTGTTCCCTGTGGCTAAGGAGGGACTACATTTTGTTTATCCATTCATCAATTGGACATTTGGGTTTTCACTTTTTGGTTATTAATAATGCTGCTGTGAATATTCATATATAAGTTATTGTGAAGACATATTTTCATTTCTCTTGGGTATGTATCTGGAAGTGGAATCGCTGGGTCATATGTTCACTCTATGTATAACCTTTAGGTTATACAAAAGGACCTGCCAAACTGTTTCCCAAAGTGGCTGTACCATTTTGCATTCTTTTTTTTTTTGAGACAGAGTTTGCTCTGTTGCCTGGGCTAGAGTGCCATGGCATCAGCCTGGCTCACAGCAACCTCAAACTCCTGGGCTCAAGCGATGCCTCAGCCTCCAAGTATGTGGGACTACAGGCGTGCGCCACCACACCCGATTAATGTTTTCTATTTTTAGTTGTTTGGCTAATTTCTTTATATTTTTGGTAGAGATGGGAGTCTCGCTCTTGCTGAGGCTGGTCTTGAACTTCTGAGCTCAAGCCATCCTCCCGCCTCGGCCTCCCAGAGTGCTAGGATTACAGGCGTGAGCCACCGCGCCCAGCCTGTTTTGCATTTTTATCAGCAGTGTATGAGAGTATAAATATGTCTTGTTCTCACTTTCCTTTAGGTCTCTGCCTAAATAACCTTTGTCGAGGTACCTTTTATGCCCACTCTACTACAGAAAATGCCATTGCCCTTCCCTACTCTGGGTACTCCTTTCCTTCTGTACTCTGCTTTATTCTTCCTTATAATAGTACTTAGCACCATCTGACATACTATATATTTACTTCATCAGTTTATCTTCTGTTTTTTCTAACTAGAAAATAAGCCACCCAGCACCTAAAACAACATCTCATATAAGGTATATGTTAAATAAATATTTATTGAATAAATGAATGGACATTTCCCTCCATAAGAGGAGGAACCTTACTTATTTTATTCAGCTCTGGATTCCTTCACCCACCTGACCAGTGCATGATATGTGTTTGTGGAGAGAATCAGTGATGCTTACCATTAGGGAGTTGCAGGTGCAACAAGAGGAGCTGACTGTCCAGGGGATGGAGAGGTTACTTGTGGGAGGGTTGATGAAATATTTTTCATGGGCATCTGGAATGTAAGAGAAGGGGAAGATTGGAAGGACTCTGAGTAGCTCTGTGTTGGCATTCTTATAGCCTCCTTAGAACGAGGCCCAGGAACAGGAGGAGGAGGTGGAGGAGGATTTGTTTAGGGGTGAAGGAGGAAGGATAATGTTATCAGATGAGTTCAGAGTTCATTCAGCAAGCATTTATGGATGTTGCCTCTGTGCTAGGTGCTCTCTGGGGATACAGAGGTGAAGCAGATCTATCTTTGAAGTCTGATAGTGGGATGAGTTGGACTGTTCTCTATTTAGCACTACTTTTCTTGGGTGGGGCGTGGGGGAAGGAGTCAGGCAAGATACAACTTGAGGAAAGTCTGAGAGGCTAGGCTGCTTTGTGTGTTACCCACAGGAAAAAAAGGCGAAGGCCTAAGCCCTCTAGAGGGATGGCTTTTTGACTTCAGAGGAGGTGTGACTTCAGAAAGGCTTCGCAGTGCTAGGACAGGGAAGGGCTTGGAGAAATTCTGTGTCTTTAACATCCTATTCCTGACTCACTTCCCTGTGTTCCTTTCTCCAGAACCTCTCAGCTGTTGCGGCATTGGTGAGTCTCAGTAATGCACGTCTTGGTTCCATTAAAACTCGGTAAGTCTTGAACCCTGTTTTTTTCTCCGTGGGGATATCCCTTTAGGAAGTAAGCTATATGTACATCTGTCCAGCCATTGTCCCTGCCCCATGGATTCAAGAGATTTTTCCAATCTCAAGAGGGTAGAGGGTTTGATTCTTTCATGAGTTCAACCCCACCTTTTCCAGGTCCCAAGTTTCCTATTCCCCAACTGATATTACTTCTGCTCCCTTCTGACCTTGCTGCCTCCACCTCACTCCAAGTTCTCCAAGTATTTCAGGAGTTAGAAACCACAGTGGATGTGGGGCAAAGTCTTACCATAGCCCAGTGAGAATAAAAGAATCGTCAGTGGCTTTTTCTGAGGTCTAGCCTGTGCCCACTTGTCATCACTCTCTTCTTTCTTATAAGGTTTGAGGGCCTGTGTCTGCTGTCCCTGCTGGTAGGGGAGAGCCCCACAGAGATATTCCAGCAGCACTGTGTCTCTTGGCTTCGGAGTATTCAGCAGGTGTTGCAGGTAAGGGTTCAGCTGCTGCCCTGCATCCTCCCCTACCTCCATCTTATTCATCCTGGATGTGGTATGTTCTTTGAGGTTTGGACATTTAGTTCTGAGGACACAATAATTAGAAACAATTCCCTGATAGTGGGGAGGGCAAGCTTTGAATAGAAGCATCTTTTTAAACTTTTTGATATTTTTATCTACTGGGTTATTAAATATTAATAATTCGTCTGACCTTTCACACACTATAACCTCTGACAATTTCACTTCATTAGCTTTTCTAATGAGTGACATCTCCAAAGTTCCTTTTTCTAGGTGTTTGATTTTGAGTTTGTTTTTTGGCATACTCCTTTGTTCTTCTTTTAACATTGTAATTTCTTCCCCCTGCCTTTACATCCTTTCGTGACTTCTCCACTTACTTACTCAACAAGCATTTTCTGAGCGCATATGGCAGCCTGTGTGCTAAGCTCTGGGGAGACAGTAATATGTACTTAGACCTTACTTTCATGGTGCTTAGAGTCTAGCACTTTTTCTGTGAAGTAAATGTTTACAGATAGCAAGTATGTTTTAGGCTTTGTGAACCACATATAGTTTCTGTTGCATATTGTTTGTTTTCCAACCCTTTAAAATGTAAACACTATTTTTAGCTTGTGGGCTATGCAAAAAGAGGCATACACAGACCATATTTTGCTGATCCCTGTTCTAGTACAAGACACTTTAATTGAATAAGTATACAAATGAACAGAATGATGAACTGAGGTAGGTGCTATGGAGGTAAAGACTGCAGTTCTCTAAGAACATGTAGTGAGACTCTGACCCTATCTGGGGTGGTGTGGGTAGTGGTGGTCAGGGCCACAGGTCCCGGGAGGGCTTTTTGTTTTGTTTTTTTTTTTTAAGACAGAGTCTCACTCTGTTGCCCTGAGTAGAGTGCTGTGGTGTCAGCCTACCTCACAGCAACCTCAAACTCCTGGGCTCAAGCAATCCTCCTGCCTCAGCCTCCCAAGTAGTTGGGACTATAGGTACATACCATGCCACCTGGCTAATTTTTCTATTTTTACTAGAGATGGGGCCTCACTCTTGCTCAGGCTGGTCTCGGACTCCTAAGCTCAAGCAATCCTCCCCCCTCGGCCTCCCATAATGTTAGGATTACAGGCGTGAGCCACCATGCCTGGCTTCTTTTTTTAACTGATCAATAGAAGTTAATTGGGCTAAGAAACAAAGCCATGGCCTTGTAGGCCATGCTAAGGATTTTGGTTTTTATTCTTGAAGCAGTGGCAATTCATGGAAGGTTTTAAGTAGGGGTGCGGAGGCGGTGGTGGTGGTGGTGACGGTGACGTGATCAAATTTTCATTTGAAAATATCACTCTGGCTGCTTTGTGGAGAGTGGATTAGAAAGGAGCAGAATGGAAGCACAAAGACCATGTAGAACACTACCAAAGTAATCTAGGAGAAAATTCACAGTACCTTGGCTCAGGATGGTGGCAGTAGAACTTTGAGGAGAAGATTTTCGTAGTGGAGAGAATTAGCTGGAGAGAAATGCAATAGGATTACTGGACAGTATTGAAGGCCTGTGTGTAATTGGTGGGTCCACCTATTCCTACTTTCTTAGTAAGTAATTCTCCTTTGTTTTATTGATATGTGGCCATCTCTGGTCTAGCAGGATATACGTGCTGAATGCTTTTTCCATAGATACGTGTTAATTTTCCAGGGAAGTCCTTCTAAATCCAATTGTTTTTTTTTGCATGAGTTCCAGGGTAGGTTGAGCCAGCTAGGAGCAAGCTTGGAGATATATATGGAGAAGTTTTGGTGTGGCTGAGGCTCATTTTTCAGTCTTAAAAGTGTTCTTCTGTATTCCCAGCAGGGAAATATAGCATGGGAGAATCAAAGAACTCTTGTGATCTTCTAGTTAGATAGATCTTTAAAATGTGGCTTTGTTATCCTCTTTTCTGCAAACAAATTCCTAGGACCCCAGATACCCTTAATACTAAAATGTAAACATGTTTCCTTTTTGGAGATGAATATGTTACTCGTGGATACTTCATGTCTCTTATGTCCTGTTTTCTTACAGATAGTGGAGTTGATGGTAATATTGACATTATCTATGGTGTTTCTCAGAAGTCTCATGTTATGCCTCCTGCCCCTCCTTGGTGACAGTCAAGGTGAGGCCGGAAGCAAGGGATGTTGTCACTTTTTAGTCTCAGGACCCGCCCCCCACAATGGAGTTGGCTGTGGCTGTCCTGAGGGACCTGCTCCGATATGCAGCCCAGCTTCCTGCACTGTTCCGGGACATCTCCATGAACCACCTCCCTGGCCTTCTCACATCCCTGCTGGGCCTCAGACCAGAGGTGAGACACTTCCCCAGCCCCCACCCCTAGGCCCCTGTTGGTGAATTAAAGGATATGGTGGGAAGCGATCCAGGAATAGGATTCAAGAAGTGAGAAGAGGGAGGAACCCAGAAAAAGTGATTGTATGCCGAAGAGTCCTTCCAGGGTGGTGGGGTGAGATCAGGGGGATATGGGGGTACTGGGCTCTTAGCCTCTTCTTCCTTATTTTCTGTTTTTCCCACAGTGTGAGCAATCAGCATTAGAGGGAATGAAGGCTTGTATGACTTACTTTCCTCGGGCTTGTGGTTCTCTCAAAGTAAGTATTCATAGAAAGTCCTCTTCCCACCAACATAAGCCTTGATAGCTCTCTTACTGCAGATTCTGGTCCTGAGATTTCTAAACACCTATTTTCTGATTGTCCTTTAAAGTTACCTATCTCCACAACTATAATTATACCACCTTGCAGCAGTTATCTTATTTAATCCTCACATATAAAGAAGTTGGAATGGAGTAACTTGGCTAAGATCGGCAGGGATGGGACCTGTGTCTGTCTGATGCCCAGGATCTTAACCATGGGCTCCTTCCTCTTTCTGCCCTGCCTTCTCTGTATGCCCTGCCCATTTTTCTGTCATCCTGTCTTACTTTGTTCGTAAAGCTCATATAATTTCCTCTAGGAAGCTTTCCTGACTTACCACTTTCCTAGGACAATTCTTCCAAACTTCTTTCTGCTTATATTCCTGACTAAACTCTTCTATCACTTCCCTACGCTTTCCCCCAAGTTGTCATGATCTGTACAAGGTGACTGTACAACAGAGCCTTGCTAGGTCAGGCAGGCAGCTCAGGGTGTCCGTGGCTCAGGTGAGGGAAAGCATTGCAGTTGTAATTTCAAGGAGTTACAATAACAAATATGAATGGTTTGCAAATTCTACCAATGTAGTAACAGTTAAAGGACCGTTTGTAATGGGCATATTTGCTGTTTGCAGTGTAATTAGATGCCAGTTATACCTAGGAACAAGTAGGTATTCCCCTATAGATTAAATGTTCTCTCTTATTTTGTTACACTCACCATTGGCCTGACAAACTATTGGGCACCCTCTTACTCAGATGGAAGCACCAATCTCTAGACAGCTGGAATTGGTGGCAAATTAGTAATTCTTTTGTGTAACTGGTGTGGTCCACTCTATCGGCCATCAGTATTATCAATTAAGGGGGAGTTTGCTATTCAAATTTTTTAAAAGTAAGATTACATGGTTCTATGACAAATCAGGAAGGTAAGTTCTTGAAGGGAAAGGGAACTGGTGTTTCTTAAGTACCCACTATGTGCCAGGCACTCTGCTGAGTGTCTAAGGTGTGTTATTTTATCATTGTAATTATTCTGTGGAGTTGGTATCACTGCATTTTACAGAGGCGGAAACTAGCTCAGAGGAATTTAAGTGACAACCCAAGGTTATATATCTGGTAGTTATTAAAAAAAGGGCAGATAGGTTTCAACACTAATGCTAGCTCTGATCAGGTGTTAGTTGCTGTGTACATCTCTGGCTTGAGAAGGATTGTGAGTCGGAGCTCCATGGGCATGAGTGCTGTGATCGGAGAGTGTGGTCTTGCTGTCTTGCAGTATCTGAAAAGTCCCAGAGCAGGTGATATTTCTTAGTAAGCATGGGGTCACGTCCTTGCTGCTGCTTTGTTTTCATGTGAATGCCATTAATCACAGCTAATAAATCTTTGGATAGGCAGGAGATAGGACTTGTCAAGAAGGTATTTGGAGTAACTCATGGATTAAATGTTCCTCTATCACTTCTCCACCTCTTCCCCCAAATTGTCATGACCCATACAAGGTGACTGTACAATAGAGCCTTGCTAGGTCAGACAGGCAGCTCAGGGTGTCTCTGGGTCAGGTGAGGTAGGGGGTCAGGAAAATGGATTTTAGAAAAGATTAGTAAAGCTTTGTTACTAAAGTTTTACTAAGTTTAGTAAAAACTGCATATCTTACAAAATGTTCTGTAAGTTAACTTTTAAATTACACAGGCCAATAGTTTGTCCCTGACTAAAAGTTTGTGCAGTTTTACTGCAAATGATTGTTTTAGTTCAGCTCTGTTTGGTATTATCTGCATCTACATGCATCCTGGCATGAAAGAGGAGGGGAAATTGAGTGTTAAGTACAGGGTAGAAATTTGAATAGTCATGGAGACTAGAATGCTAAGTATTCCTGTGCTGTAGCCTCTTAATTTTCATTGTGAGTAGTCAGGGGAATTTATCTATAATGCACAACCTTTTGTCAGACAATGTAGTTTTTGCAGTTAGGGCCTGCATTTTGAGTACCCTTTCTAAACCAAACGACAAACATTTGTGTGTTATTCCAGGGTATTTCTGCCTTTATTTCCCTAAGGATAAAGTGTTTTCTGGGGCACTTCCCTCTGTTGAGGATTTTGGCTTGTTCTGTTGCCAACACCTCAGAAAAGAATCTGTTCTATGCAAAGGTCCCTGGGGTAGTTTGTACTTGGAAAATCTTACAGACCAGTACTTAGGAACTGATAATTGTCATTTGAAATGTTTATCTGTTCTCTGTTCCATTCCCCACGTGCTCCGGGGCAGTTGCAGTCTCCAGGCCCAGGGTTACTCCTCTCAAATAATATGACTCAAGCATTCTGAGTCCATGAAGTCAATCCCTGCAGAGACTACCTCATTTTCTCCTCCTTGCCAAATTAATTAGTAGTTCCTTGGAATGAGCGGGAAGACTAACCCCACCCTTGAGAGATACCCAGGACATGGCGAGTATGTTTGTGTATGTGCACATGCGCGTGTTTTCAGTGAAACGTTCCAAGCGAGCCATTAATTTGTTTGCTTTGTGGGTCAGCAGGGCAGACCTTGTGGTCAGAGTCGTGCCACTTCACTGTATGCTCCTTTGTTGCGGTCACATAAGCAGACTTCTGTTGGCCCCAGCCCTGCTTTTTGACCCAGCGTCTCAGGGAAAGCATGAGCAGTATGTTGGCCAAAAGGGCCGAGTGCCACTATATTTGGGGCTTTGGCAGCTCTCTAAGAACTGTCATCCTTGGAGAAGTCAGTGAATCAGTAGACCTTGGGTGGTTACTCTTCTTCGGTTTGAGTGTTCTGTAACCCTACTACGTCAGATGTGCAAGTGTTCTCCAAGTCCCAGGGGAACTGGTTCTAGATCCTCTCCTACTTGGCATCAGCTGTAGCAGTTGTTGTCTCATGGTCAGTAAGAACCTTGGAGCATAACGTGTGAAGCTAGGTGTGGTTCCTGCCGCAGGGTGGATAGGAGAGAGTCCTTGGATAGTTGGTTTCTGAACAACACTCTGACAGAGGCTTCTGCTCCTAGTTTCCTAAGTTCCCCGCCATGTGCCTGTTGTCACTGCTCATTTGTCTCCCAGAAGTTCACCTTTGTACACACGATGTCCTTGCTCCCTAGAGAAAGTCCATGCTCCCTTGCCTCAGTCTGCTTCTCCATTGGCATCTTCTGATTCTGGAGCTTTCCTCGGTGTTTCCCCCTGTCTGGCTGCGTTATCTGGATTTTCATCTTCTAAGCCAGCTCAGTCCCACCCTCCTTAGCCTCAGCATCATTCTCTCAACCCTCTCTCTGTCCCCATCTCTCTACACTGCCAGTGGCAGCTCCAGCTTCTTGTTTTCCATTCACCTGTTCTGTCTTTGTAACTCTTACATCCCTCCAAAAGTGGAAGTCCTGTCTCTTCCCTTTCTATATCTCTAGTGCAGTATTCTTAATCTATTTTGTGCCATGGACCCCTTCTCAGAATAATATTCTTAAATTTATGAAATAAAATGCATGAAATTACAAGGGTAACCGATTCTGTTGGAATGTATTTATCAAAATAGCTGTAAAAATGGTGATAGAGTAGTATGTGCTTCTTTATTAATATGTTAACTAAAGATCTAGAGGTAGGTCTTATAACTATCATAATTTCATATTAGCAATGCATGTGAATGATACTGCTCTTGGAACTGGCTCAAGCCTCTTTCCTTTTTTCCCCCTCATCCAGGGCAAGCTGGCCTCATTTTTCCTGTCTAGGGTGGATTCCTTGATACCTCAGCTCCAGCAGGTAAAGGGAAGGGAGGGAGGTGGAGAGCCTGGGGATCTGAGGCTGGAGCGGCTCTTACTGCTCCTTCTTAGTATTCTGTGTTACTGTTTTTGGACCATGTTCCTGCTTTCCTCCCTGTTGGCATACTTTAACTTCTGCCTTCGTGTGCCCATCTGGGTCCTTCAACCTCATTGCCCCTCCTCATGTTTTCCTCAGAGCTCTCTTTGATCTCCATCTCTTTTGGGTGTTCGTGGGTTTGGGGGTTCTTTGGCTGGCCTAGATTCCTATCTGACCAGGTTTCTGCCCTTTCTTCTGCAGTTGGCCTGTGAGTGTTATTCCAGACTGCCCTCTCTAGGGGCTGGCTTTTCCCAGGGCCTGAAGCACACTGAGAGCTGGGAGCAGGAGCTGCATAGCCTGCTGACCTCACTGCACAGCCTGCTAGGGACCCTGTATGAGGGAGCAGAGACCGGTAGGAACCATGGCTGGTAGTCAGTGGGACAGTGGTTGGGGAGCTGGGCAGGAGGGAACAGGAGGGGGCCCAGAGAGGTGGGGCAGTTTGTTTCTAGGCAGTTTGGATTAGAATACGGGGAAGTCATCCACCACAAATGAAAAAGGAGGGGATGAAAAAAAGACACAGAGTGTGCAAGGTGGTTTTGTTTCTGCCCAGCTCCTGTGCAGAACGAAGGCCCTGGAGTGGAGACACTGCTTTCCTCCTCAGAAGATGGTGATGCCCATGTTCTTCTCCGGCTTCGGCAGAGGTTTTCAGGACTAGCCCGCTGCCTGGTGCTAATGCTCAGGTGTGTGTGGGTGTGGGAGAGATTGGGGCCTAGAGCAGTAGGGGTTGAGGTAGGAGTGTTGTCTCCATCATAAGGAAGGTGATTGAGGTGCACGTGGAGTCACACGGGGGAGCCTGCTCTGAGAGTTTCCCTGTTCTGATTCTCTTTAGCTCTGAATTTGGGGCTCCCGTGTCCGTCCCTGTGCAGGAAATCCTGGATCTCATCTGCCGAACCCTCAGCATCAGTGGCAAGAATATTGTAAGGGCGTTTGTCCTCTGTTCACAGCCCTTGCTCAGGATCCTGGGCAACCAGAAAGCACTGTGGGACCTGAAGTTGTCCCAGAGAGCTCCCTACTTTCGTCCAAATACCATCACTCCTTGTGCATCCCCAGCACGTGTGCACGCTGTCACAGTGGGTTTGCCCACACGTATTGGGACCACTTGCAGCAAATTTTCGCTAGGGGAAGGTGAATTTGGGGGTCAGCCCAGTCATTGCTGAGATGCTCAGCCAGCCCTCCCTTACCCTTCATCAAGGGTCTATTTTAGAGGATGGAGGTTTGATTTTATTGGGAGAGCCGGGGTCAGAGTCTGGGTTCCTTACCTGTGTGTGCGTATGTATGTAGTCTGACTCCAGTTGTCTCTCGCTTTCTTCCCCCACTCCTTATTTTTGCCATTTTTTTCTCCAGAACTTGCTTGGAGATGGTCCCCTGCGGTTGCTGCTACTGCCCTCTATCCACCTTGAAGCCTTGGACCTGCTCTGCGCACTCATCCTCGCGTGAGTGGGATTGGGCAGGATGTGGTGAAGGGATGGGATGTGCTAGAAATGAGGGTCACCATTCTGTCTCTGCTCCCAGGTGTGGAGGCCGGCTCTTGCGCTTTGGGGTCTTGATCAGCCGCCTACTTCCCCAGGTCCTCAATGCCTGGAGCATTGGTAGGGATTCCCTCTCTCCAGGCCAGGAGAGGCCTTACAGGTGACCATCCAGGAAGGGAATAAAGAGAGGATGGGTGAGGGGATGCAGGTGGGCTGGGTGTTCTGACATGTTGCCTCTCTATTATAACTTGCCCTCTGTGTATACACCACAGCACCATTCGGACCAAGGTATATGCCATATTAGAGCTGTGGGTGAAGGTTTGTGGGGCCTCAGCCGGAGTGCTTCAGGGAGGAGCCTCTGGAGAGGCCCTGCTCACCCACCTGCTCAGTGACATCTCCCCTCCAGCCGATGCCCTTAAGGTGAGTGAGGCCTTGGCTCCTTCCCAGGACTCTGATCCTGTGCCCTTTGTCCAGATGTGCCTCCTCAGCAGACACTGCCTCCTGACTCTGTCCTGCCTTCGTGTTTGCCTGCATGTGTGATTTATATTTCCCTTTGCCAACAGCTGCGCAGCCCCCGGGGGAGCCCTGATGGGGGTTTGCAAACTGGGAAGCCCAGTGCCCCCAAGAAGCTAAAGCTGGATGTGGGGGAGGCTATGGCTCCACCTAGCCACCGGAAAGGGGATAGCAATGCCAACAGCGACGTGTGTGCAGCTGCACTGAGAGGTGGGTGAGGCCTGTGCCCTGGATTCCTGGGGCTCTGGGATGGCCCCAAGTGATAGCCCAAAACCAGCTGTTGAAGGGGAGGGTGTATATAAAATGCAGAGCCAACTTAGAGCCTACAGAGATCCCAGGAGAAGGAGAAGCAGCCATGCAGCGACTGTGGCTGCAGGTGGAATCTTGGGGCCTGCTGTTAGACTGGGGGTTCTGGTAGTTGACACTGCCCCTCCAAGGTCTTAGTTCTATCTCATTTATTCAGCAGATACTTTGCATATCCATTCTGTATGTCAGGTATAGTTCTAACACTTGGGGAAAAAAAATCCCTGCCTCTGGAGCTTACATTCTCCCCAGGGCAGGCTGCATGGCGGAGCTTCCTGCCTCCAATGCGACTGCTCATCTATCGAGAAAAGATACTGTGCAGTTAATGGGTGACTTTTCTTGGGGTCCCATATATTTCACTGCCTGCCACCCCACCCCATATGAAGGGGAGAGCCAACTCTCCCCAGATATATCAATGTACATTTATAACATTTTACCTGTATTGTCTCATTTAAATACTGTCAGCATCCCTATGTAGTAGAGGCGCTTTTATGATCCCCGTTTTATGGTCGAGAAAGCAAACTTAGAGAAGTTAAATGACTTGCCCAAGATAGGCAGGCAGTGGCAGAGCCAATGCTCACCTTGGGCTGTTTTCTTCAGAAGCCCTTGCTCTCAATCCTGTTGGGAGCCTGCCTCTTAACACACTCCTTTTCTTCCCCAGGCCTCAGCCGGACCATCCTCATGTGTGGGCCTCTCATCAAGGAGGAGACTCACAGGGTTAGTAGAGCCTGGTCCCCATGGAGACTGGGGAGGGGGGCCGCCACTCTGTACATGTAGGGGTGTGTGCCCCATAGGTGGCATTCAAACCTGGGAGTGTGCCCTAGAGAAGGGTTGGATAGCTTTGGCGATGTTTCTAGGTGTGCTCTGTGTCCTTTTCAGAGACTGCATGATCTGGTCCTACCCCTGGTCATGGGTGTCCAGCAGGGTGAAGTCCTAGGCAGCTCCCCGTACACCAGCTCCTGCTGCCGCCGTGAACTCTACCGCCTGCTGCTGGCACTGCTGCTGGCACCTTCTCCTCGCTGCCCACCTCCTCTTGCCTGTGCCCTGCAAGCTTTCTCCCTTGGCCAGCAAGAGGACAGCCTTGAGGTAACTGCTGACTGGGGCCAAGCCCCTCTTTATTTCCTGGATTCTCTCGTTTCTCATGCTGGTGGGCTTGCTCTCTCTGGCACCGTGGGACCCTGTATTTCTGATGCTCACGTTTGACCTTTCTTCTTTCCTCAGGTCTCTTCTTTCTGCTCAGAAGCACTGGTGACCTGTGCTGCTCTGACCCACCCCCGGGTTCCTCCCCTGCAGTCCATGGGCCCCACCTGCCCTGCACCTGCCCAAGTTCCCCCTCCTGAGGCCCCATCTCCCTTTAGGGCCCCACCCTTCCATCCGCCGGGCCCTATGCCCTCAGTAGGCCCTATGCCCTCGGCAGGCTCCATGGCCTCGGCAGGACCCATGCCCTCAGCAGGACCCATGCCCTCCACAGGATCCATGCCCTCAGCAGGCCCTGTGCCCCCAGCACGCCCTGGACCTCCAGCCACAGCCAACCACCTAGGCCTCCCTGTCCCAGGCTTGGTGTCTGTGCCCCCCCGGCTCCTTCCTGGCCCTGAGAACCACCGGGCAGGCTCAAATGAAGACCCTGTCCTTGCCCCAAGTGGGACTCCGCCACCTACTATACCTCCAGATGAAACTTTTGGGGGGAGAGTGCCCAGACCAGCCTTTGTCCACTATGATAAGGAGGAGGCCTCTGATGTGGAGATCTCCTTGGAAAGCGACTCTGATGACAGTGTGGTGATCGTGCCTGAGGGGCTGCCACCCCTGCCACCCCCACCACCCTCAGGCACCACACCTCCCCCTATAGCCCCCGCTGGGCCACCAACAGCCTCTCCTCCTGTGCCAGCCAAGGAGGAGCCTGAGGAGCTTCCTGCAGCCCCAGGGCCTCTCCCACCACCCCCACCTCCGCCCCCACCGGTTCCTGGTCCTGTGACACTCCCACCACCCCAATTGGTCCCTGAAGGGACTCCTGGTTGGGGAGGACCCCCGGCCCTGGAAGAAGATTTGACAGTTATTAATATCAACAGCAGTGACGAGGAGGAGGAGGAAGAGGAAGAAGAGGAGGAGGAGGAGGAGGAAGAAGAGGAGGAGGAAGAAGACTTTGAGGAAGAGGAAGAGGATGAAGAGGAATATTTTGAAGAGGAAGAAGAGGAGGAAGAAGAGTTTGAGGAGGAATTTGAGGAAGAAGAAGGTGAGTTGGAGGAAGAAGAGGAGGAGGAGGACGAGGAGGAAGAAGAAGAGTTGGAAGAGGTAGAAGAGTTGGAGTTCGGCTCAGCAGGAGGAGAGGTGGAAGAAGGTGGACCTCCACCCCCAACCCTGCCTCCAGCTCTGCCCCCACCGGAGTCCCCCAAGGTGCAGCCTGAGCCAGAGCCAGAACCTGGACTGCTGTTGGAAGTGGAGGAGCCAGGGGCAGAGGAAGAGCATGGGGCTGAGACAGCCCCCACCCTGGCTCCGGAAGTTCTCCCCTCCCAGGGCGAGGTGGAGAGGGAAGGGGGAAGCCCCGCAGCAGGGCCCCCTCCTCAAGAGCTTGTTGAAGAAGAGCCTTCTGCTCCCCCAACCCTGTTGGAAGAGGGGACTGAGGGTGGGGGTGACAAGGTGCCACCCCCACCAGAGACACCTGCAGAAGAAGAGATGGAGACAGAGGCTGAGGCCACAGCTCTCCAGGAAAAGGTGAGAGAGTCAGGCAGGGATGGCACCTCTCAGGTGGGAGGGTGGCGCTGGTGGGAGAAAGGGAGGGGCTGTGGCCCAGCCTGACCCATTCTGTGTGTGTATGTGTGACTGTTTTCAATCTTATGTCTTTATCCCTAAAAGGAACAGGATGACACAGCTGCTATGCTGGCTGATTTCATCGATTGTCCTCCTGATGACGAAAAGCCACCGCCTACCACAGAGCCTGACTCCTAGCCCTCTTCTGCACCCCCACTCCTTGTTTCAAATAAAGTTATGTCCCTAGATAGCGACTGTTGCTTCTGCCTTTTGCCACAACTGGGTCCCAGCCAGAAGCCCAAGTGTGTCCTGTCCTGGGCTTTTCAGGGTATCCATGGTATTCCCCAAATGTTTCCATAGCCACCCTGTTGTCTCTGTTGTCCAGAGGAGGAACTGTTGACTTACAGGGGTAATGGACTGTCCCGTCGCTGAGCAAGGTAGTGTCAGAAGTTTACAATTCTTGCCTGGTGCTAAATATATGCGGGCTTGCATGTATGGTTAAGACTGCAAGGAGTTAGAAAACATAGCCCTACTTTTGAGTTTGTATTCCAGGGGTGGGAAATGTGTGGGGAATTTATAGGATTAAGTGTCCTAATGAGGGAACCCGCATAAACACACATCCCCACATGCACACATACACGCACACATACACACACACACCCGAAAGAACAGGCTGAGTGATTGCAATTGAAGATTAGAAAATCATGAAAAGGTGTAGAGGGTTTAGTCGTTGAATTCTGTGAAATCTGAACCTTGGGCATCCTAAATTAAAGGGGTCTCCAATGTGGGTTTGGGGAAGGAGCTCTGTTTCAGGGCTGGTTCTTCCAATGACAATGTCCCGGCCCTCCCCAGTACTTCCCTGGCAGGAATTTGATAAGCTCAACCCAGGCTTTCCTACATACTCTACTGATGTGGACATTTCCAAGCTGGTGTCTGATTGCTTTAAGCACTGATATTTATTGCAGGCCTTGCTGGGGTGCATGTGTGAGCACGAACCTAGAGGTGTGTCTGTGAGGGTACCAAGATTTATGGGCTTGAACCAGGGGCCCCATGTCTGTTGAATTACGAACATAAGTAAAGTGCCTTGGAAATGCAGAAAAGGCCGTCATGTTTCCCATCTTTATGTACTCTAGAGAGCCTCTTTGAGAAGGTAGCATTTGAGCTAATTTTTGGAAAGTTAGTAGGATTTTAAAAAGTTTCCCCCTCAACTTGTTTTGAAAAATTTCAAACCTACAGAAAAGTTGCGAGACTAGTACAATATATAACCTTTGCCTAGATTTACCAGTTGTTAACATTTAGCCATGTTAGCTTTTATCCCTATATCTACATGTAGATATGTGTCTATATATACACATTATCTATGTATTCTATACATCTGTACACTTTTTTTTTGAGAGAGGGTCTTGCTCTATCACCCAGGCTAAAGTGCAGTGGCATCATCATTGCTCACTGCAACCTCAAACTCCTGGGCTCAAGCGATCCTCCTCCTTCAACCTTCCCAGTAGCTGGGACTACAGGTGCAAGCCACCACACCTAGCTAATTTTTCTATTTTTAGTAGAGACGGGGTCTCGTTCTTGTTCAGGCTGGTCTCAAACTCCTGACCTCAAGTGGTCCTCCCTTCTCGGCCTCCCATAGTGTTAGGATTATAGGCGTGAGCTATAAATGTCTTATAGCTGTTTGTTTTTTCTCTGAGTCAAGTTCAAGAGAAGTTTCTTTTAGGTGGAGAAGGCCTTACGAAGGCTTAACGATCACTGCGAGTTCAAGGATGCAGAAGTGTGAGAACTGCAATAGTGATTTTTCAAAAAGGGAAAGAACCTGATTTCAGGAAACTAAATAGGTGAAGTTGGCCTTGACCCTGAGGGAGAAGATAGAACAGAAATTTTTCTAATTTAAATGGTATTCTAAATCGATAATATGTTCACATGGTACAAAAGGTTTGTTGGAAAGTCATCTCACCCATTTTCTACACCCAGATTTTTTACCTAGAGCAGCCAGTATGATCAGTTTTTATATATTCTTCCAAGATTGTATGTGTATATGTATGAAAGCAAATATGTATGAAAATTCTTCCTTTAATTTTATATACGATGGTAATATATTATCACTTAAGAGAAATCACTTAATTTCACTGTTATGGGGATTTTTTTTTTTTTTTTTCTTAAGACTAGTCAAGTGCAGTAGTGAGGAGGGAGGAAAGTAGTAGAACAAGGAATTCAATCTGTAACTGACCGTAAACAATCAAGTGAGATAACTCACTATCTTCAGTCTATTGTGGGGATTTTTAAATTCAGCAAATATTTATTGAGTACCAATTATGTACTAGGCACTGTCTTCTCAATATATATATTTGCAACCTCCCCAGGGGGTTGCAAAGATGGTATTGAGAAAGTGGGGGTGACAAGGTGCCCTTCACCCAGTTTCCCCCACGGTTACATCTTAGGTGATTATAGTGCAATATCAAAACCAGGAATTTGATCTGGGTAGTGATAGGCTCTGTTTTACAAGCTGGAGATAGAGCAATGAACAAAATGAGACAGAAATCCCTGCCCTGCTATTGTGGGATTTATATTCTAAATGTGTGGGGGGTGGAGGTAGATGATAAACAAGATCAGTAAGTATGTTGGATGGTGAGGAGTGCAATGGGAAAATAAAGCAAGGAAAGGGGGATGTCCGTGCGGTTGTGTTTTTCAGCATCTTAGGATGAAAATTTTAAACATTCAAAGAAATTGAAAGAATTACGGAGAAGAACCATGTGTCTGCCATGTCACTACATTTCTGCATGTGTGTATTTGTGCACTTTTAAGTATAGGAAGGAAGGTATATTTTAAGTATAGGTCAAGGAAGCTCTTGCTGAGATGATGTTGAATAAAGGCCCTAAGGAGTTGGGAGAGATCTATGCAGAGTTCTGGGGGAAGAGTTTTCCAGGCAGAGGGCACAGCAAGTATAAAGATCCTGAAGCAGGAGCATTCTTGGTGTGTTCAAGAAAAGCCAGGGAGGCCAGTGAGGCTGTAACAATGGGAGATGAGGTAGAGAGCGAGCAGGTTGGAAGTGGGAAAGGTTGGATGGCGCAGCGATGTCGCGTTGGAGGGTCGTAAGCAGAGGATTGACACAGCATAATTTATGTTTCAACAGGATCCATCCGACTGCTCTTGGCAACTAGACAAAAGGGAGTAAGGGTGATAGCAGAGACACCAGTTAAGAGGCTAATTCAGCCAGGAGTGATGGTGCCTTCCACCAAGGTGGTAGAGAAGTGGTTAGATTCTAGATAATTTTTGAAGGTGCAGTTGGCAGAATTTGAAGATCATTTCATTTCATTTCATACAGAGCTTCCTCATTCTCTTTTTGGCAGCTGCCTGGAATCTCATTATACCATAACTTTTTAACCAGTCCCTGATTGATGAATATTTAGCTTTCTTTTACTGCCACAAAACAGACAGGTACATGTATACGAATGACATATATACATGTTATTTTTCACCTAAGTGAGTATTTTTAGGATAAATTCCTAGAAGTAGAAATGCTGACTCATTTCTTGTATGTTGTATCAATTTTTGCTCTCACCAGAATATGAGTATTTCTCCAAACCGAAGTGTGATAACAGACTGTGTCTTTGCCAATGTGTTAAATGGAAATTCGCATGTCAGTGTGTTTTAATTTACATTTCTCATACGAGAGAGTTTGTCTCTTTTCATATGTTTAAGGTCTCTTTGAATTTCCTTTTCTGTGAAATGTTCATATCCTTTGCCTATTAAATTGTTGATATTTTTCTCATTTCATAGCTCTTTATTACTAAGAATTTGGGTAGTAATTAAAACTAAACAAAAAAGAAAAATATAGCTCTTTATATATTAGGAAAATAAGCCCTTTGTCTATAATAAGAGTTGCATTTTTTTTTTTAGCAGTTTTTGTCTTTTGATTACTTACAGTGTTTTTTTGCCATGCTGAAAATTTTTATTTTTATTTATTTATTTATTTATTTTTTTGAGACAGAGTCTTACTCTCTTGCCTGGGGTGAGTGCCATGGCGTCAGCTTAGCTCACAGCAACCTCAAACTCCTGGGCTCAAGCAATCCTACTGTCTCAGCCTCCTGAGTAGCTGGGACCACAGGCATGAGCCACCATGCCTGGCTAATTTTTCTATTTTTAGTAGAGACGGGGTCTCGCTCTTGCTCAGGCTGGTCTCGAACTCCTGAGCTCAAGCGATCCGCCCGCCTCGGCCTCCCAGAGTGCTAGGATTACAGGCGTGAGCCACCGCGCCCGGCCTCTGAAAATTTTTATTTTTATTAGTTGAATTTATCATTCTTTTAAAGCTCCTGGGTTTGGGATGGTATTTTTTTAAATATCTTGGAAGATTATTGGAAGAGTCTGACATTTTATCCTAATATTTTTATGATATTTCGTAATACTAATACTTGTGGTTTCAGTTTTTACATGGAAAGCTTTCATCCATTTGTAATTTATCTTAGTGTAAGGCATGAGGTACAAATCCAAATTTATTATTTTGTCCAAATGTCATTTGGTAAACAATCCATCTTTTCATGATTTGAAACACCACTTATTGTATTCTAAATTTCTATATGTATTTGGATCTATTTCTTGACCTTGTACGTTCAAATCCATTGATCTGCCTGTGCACACGTATTTATTGTGCCTTTATGATATGTTCCAACATCTGGTAGGAAGAATTATTAAGGGGTGTCTTGGCTCGTCTTAGGGGAAAAAAATATTTGGTAGGGGCCAAATTGGTCTACAATTCAGAACAGGGCCTGTTGGACCAGTCCTTATGGAGTTCTGGATTGGCAGTTGGGGAAATATGGACAGCATATTTTCTTCAGCAAGCTCTTCCACAGTCTTTCACAGTGTGCTTGTGGACGGGGTATAGAGTGTTGGCTGAATATTAGGATAGTTAATTAAATTATTCAAGAAGTTAATAATCATACCCAAAGGATAACAGAGTTATCCTGGAAAATGTTTCTTGGGGCATGCTCTAGACTTTACTCAAAATTACTGTATGCCAGGCACAGTGGCACATGCCTGAAATCCCAGGTACTCTGGAGTTTGAGGTGGAAGGACTGCTTGAGCCCAGGAGTTTGAGGCCAGCCTAGGCAACATAGCAAGACTCCATCTCTTAAAAAAGAAAACCAGTAAGTAGCTTGGATGTAGATCTGTTTGCTAAATTTGCATGGAGCTGGGTGCAGTGGCTCATGCCTGTAATCCTAGCACTCTGGGAGGCCGAGGTGGTAGGATCAGTTGA